CATGGCCAAGTTGGCAATTTTCAAACCCTCAGAAATTTACGAAAATTTATCGGAGGTTGATTATCTTTTTATATTGAACTCATGAAGTCGATACCTCCATTGAGGTCTTAATTTTTTTTGTTAAAAACTTTTATTTCGAAGAATTGTTGATTGCAATTGATATACGATTTTACTTAGGAAATTTAACATACCCAGGAATTCTTGTATTTTCTTTTTGTTGGATGGTGGTTGTAGTTTTTGAATTGCATCTATACGAGATTTTAATGGAGTTATAGTGTTCGTTTCTATAATACGCCAAGAAACTTTAGTAATATCTGATAATTTTTTTTTCTAAAACAGTGAACAATTCATCCTTGGCTTGTGATTGCATAAAAACAGTCTAAATATGTGATTGCTTTTTTTCCTGAGTATGAGTGGTCGGCAAATTTCACTCATAAATGCTGAGAATGCTGCTGGTCCTATGGAGATGCCATAGAATAGTCTTTTGAATTCATTTGTTGATTACCGATAACAAGTTGTGTTAATCGTCGTGATTGTTCGTCTAACGGCTTTTGATTATATGCACTATTCATATCTGCTGTTGAGAAGTATTAACCTTTTTTTTGTTAGAATAACTTGAATTGGTTCAAGGGGCCAATTACATTCAGATTCGTCAATGAGTGAATTGAGATATCTCGCATCTAGAACTGTTTTCATGGTTCTCCTTTGCCAGGATGATAAAAGGATTTCTTAATGTGTTTCTTTTTGGCTGTTCTTCTTTATTCACTGGAGAAAAGATTTCAAATTGTTCTAGTATGCCTAATAGTCTGTTAACTTTGTCTTGTAAGTGAATTGGAACTTTATTCGCTCGTTGTTTTTCGAAAATTGCATCAGGTGTTCAAGGTAGATGTAGTGGTGAATTTACTTTTCCAACATCAAATTTAGATGTCGCGTAAACTTTTGGGTGCTTAAAATTTTGAATCGGCTAATTTTTCAAATTATTTTTGTGTTATTTATCTTTTATATGAATTCTGCTGTTTAAAATGTTAATCATTGGTATAAATATTTAGTAATAATTGTGATTCCAATGATATTATGCTTTATATCGGTGATATGGAAAGTTTGTTCGAATGGTTTGTTCAAGAGTTTGTTTTTCCCCTTGTTCAAGTGGGAACCAGGGAGAGTTGTGTTTTTCCATAATTTGTTAAGGTTGAGCCTTGTGCTGTCGCTAACCTGCTTGTTGTTTTTAAGGGTATTAGTTTTGGATGTAACGTTTTGATTTCATTCCAAGTGGGAAGGTTGATAATGTTCGATTCCGCTCCAGATTCTATTGAAAAATCAATTTCAAGGTGTGGTGTTTGGAATTCTTTGCTTTTTGGACTTTCGAAGGGGAGTGGAATTTTCCAAACTTTTTCTTAAGGTTGTGTTTCTTTTGGTACATTTTGGTAAATATGGTTTGTATTGGAACATTCTACAGGTTTTTCTTCTGTAATTTCTTCTATGTTTTCTTTTGTTTTATATTTACTTCTAGGTCTTGTATAATAATTTAAGAGGAAGTAAGCATGATTTTGATAGAAGTGTGAATGTATCGGTTGTTCGTATATAATGGATTCATAATCTTTTTCAACATGTATCATGTTAATTGTAATTGCATTATCTGTTTCGCTTTCACTGTCTGTGGATTCGCAATTGATGTGGTTTAATTGCAATTCTGTGCATTCTAAATTATCAATACCAGGGGGTCTGATTGAGTTACTTCAATTGTTAGTACTTGATTGATGTTTTGGTGTATTACTTCTATGTTTTTATTGAGAACCTGGATAAAGTGTGTTAATTCTATGTGGTGATAAAGTATCTTCTTTGTCTATTGTTATAATTTGAATTTCTGTTTTGTGAATTATCGCGTGATCTATTTTGATTGTTGTTATAACTTGATCTTTGATAGTTTGATCTGTTGTTAGATTAATCACGTGATCTATTGTTTTGATAATCTTTGATTTCGATCATTTGAAAAGTTTCGATTCCTTTTGCTGGAACAGTTTTTATTTTTTTTATATGAAGAGCTTCTAGATCGATCATTTGAATAAAACCTGAACTTGAAACAAGACCAGTAGCGGATTTAGGGAGGGACGTCCCCTCTCGAGATTGGACACCCTGCCGACTTAAAGGGTCCCCCTTTGTACTAATTTGAGATATCCATTTTTGAAGATGGACCCTAAAAATTTTCTAATGGAGCCTTGGGCGCCAATATAAATTAATTTTGAAGGGGGAGCGCGCGCCGAAAAAACGCAACTTTTTGGTCAAAATTTTCCAAAAAGTGCCTAAAAATTCCTTTTCTAGCCTATTTTTTCAACAATTTGCCGGCGGCGCACAAAAGTTGGCCAAAATAGTGGCAAAGCAGTGGTTTGGGAGAGCTCGAAAAATCAATTTGGTCGACCTTGAAAAAAGGTCGAAAAAATTTTCGAAAATTTTCTGAAAATCAGTCCACTCCACGAGAAAATCCTAGATCCGCCCCTAAGCAAGACTGTCAGTGTGTCAGGGCAAAGCCCTGAATGTTCCGACTGTCCCTTCAATTCATATCGAATAGGTTTTGGAAAAAGAAAACATTGAACACCTGTAAATTGTGGACAAAGTCAAAGTGTAAAATTTTGAATCGTACGGAATTAATACGACGAACTAGCCAGACTCCCTTCAATTTGACACAAGTTTTGTGCGGTATAATTTGCCACGCATAAAAAATTCGCTTAAGGTTCTCAGCAATATGAAAAATTCTTCAAAAGACGCATAATCTAGTCCAGAACATGGCCAAGTTGGCAATTTTCAAACCCTCAGAAATTTACAAAAAATTATCGGAGGTTGAATATCTTTTTGTATTTGAACTCAAGAAGTCGTTACCTTCATTGTTAAAAACTTTTATTTCGAAGAATTGTTGATTGCAATTGATTTTCGATTTTACTTAGGAAATTTAACATACCAAGAAATTCTTGCATTTTTTTTGTTGGATGGTGGTTGGAGTTTTTGAATTGCATCTATACGAGATTTTAATGGACTTATAGTGTTTGTTTCTATAATATGTCCAAGAAGCTTTACACGTGTTGGAAAAAAATGTATAATATCAAATGCTGCTTTCAAGTGTTCGTGTAGTAATATATGATAATATTTTCTAAAACTGAACAATTCGTCCTTGGCTTGTGATTGCATAAAAAAATAGTATAAATATGTGATTGCTTTTTTTTCTTGAGTATGAGTGGTCGGCAAATTTCACTCATAAATGATGAGAATGCTGCTGGTCCTATGGAGATGCCATAGAATAATCTATTGAATTCATTTGTTGATTTCCGATAACTAATTTTGTTAATCATCGTGATTGTTCGTCTAACGGCATTTGATTATATACATTATTCACATTTGATGTTGAGAATTACAAACCTTTTTTTGTGAGAATAACTTGAATTGGTTCAATGTGCCAATTACATTTAGATTCGTCGATGACTGAATTGAGATATCTCGTATCTAGAATTATTTTCATGATTCTCCTTCTGCCAGGATGATAAAAGGATTTTTGAATGTGTTTCCTTTTGGTTATTCTTCTTTATTTACTGGAGAAAAGATTTCATATTGTTCTAGTATGTCTAATAGTCTGTTAATTAATTTGTCTTGTAAGTGAATTGGAACTTTAGTTGCTCGTTGTTTTTTGAAAACTGCATCTGGTTTTAAAGGTAGTTGTAGTGGTGAATTTACTTTTCCATCATCAAATTAAGTTGTAGCGTAAGTTTTTGGGTGTTTTAATACTGAATCGGCTAGTTTTTCAAATTCTTTTTGTGTTATCTGAGAGGGTTGAAACTTGAACATTGTTTAGAGTTTTTGTTGTTCTTCTGTGTAATTTGATATTTGAAAAGTTGGTTTGAAGTAAGGTGTTTTTGCGAAATAGTCTGTGTTTCGTTTTTCATTGATTATTATATTATTTATTGATAGTTCTTCGTCAAGAATTGTTGATTGACATATATCTAAAAGTTGTGAGATTTTGTTTACTCTATACGCTACTTCCTTGGTGGGAGAAGTTGTCGCGTTAGTTTCACAATAACCTAAGAGTCCCAAAGGTAGGGTTATTTTATATGGAGATTTATTATAGACATGTTAGGAAATGATGTCTGGGCAGAGGTTTTGATGTACTTGATAGATGAGATTGTTACTCGAAAAAATTTATGATTTGGTCTGAATTCAAGGTCAGACATATAGAGATGGTATTTGTTTTGTTCTTCATCATATTGGTGAACTTGTTTGATTGAGAAGTTATAAACATAACCTGCTAGTGGTTTCAGGTGTTTTAGTTCTTGATTATATATAGAGTAAAATTTGGAGAAGAATGGTTGCTTATTTATTCTTTAGAAGAATGTTAAAGCTGTGTTATTCATTCTTGTGTATTTATCTTTTGTATGAATTCTGCTGTTTAAAATGTTAATCATTGGTTTATATTTAGTAATAAATGGGATTCCAAAGAGGTGACTGATATCAGCCTTTGTTAAGAAAAAACGTCTGGTACCTGATTGCCACTCGTTTTCCTCCCCCCTTGTAATGTTCTTATGGGGTATTTTCCTTCCGGTTTACAAAAATTGTCTACGCCCTTTTCCCCACCCGATCCGACCAGGGTACCTACCCTAATTCGATCTTAAATTTGGATATCCTCTTCTTATAATTCACGCGTGTAAGATTCTAATGAAACTTAATCGACAATGTCGATCAATTAGGTACTGTAATGTGTCCCCCCTTTTTACAATTTGCAACCGCCAACCTCTAACCTAACCAGCCCCCCTTCTAACCTCCCCCTCTTTAGCCCCCCTCTTGAGCCGAAAATTACCTTAAGCGCCGGGTGCTAAATCTCTTGAGAGAAAACCGTAGAACCTGTTTCCAGGCTCTGCTTGAGTAAAAACGTTCCTCAAAACAGTGGGGTTCCGCTTATCCAATTTTACACTTATCTCCTATAATGTAATGTGGATTTTAACGATACCCGTTTGACCAACTTAAGAACACCTCCCGTCTTCTGGTTGTTCTGATTCCGTGCTGGTTGTCTCCTTGACGTGTCCTGCACCTGATCACCAGCACCACTTTCCCATTTGGCTGGTCACCTGTTCCAGTCAAGTCTCCTAGTGGTCCAGCTAAGTTCCTGTGAACCACTTTCCTACTCGGCTGATCACCTCTTCCAGTCGAGCCTGCTAGTGGTCCAGCTAAGTTGCAAGCTATCTGAAAACCCTTAACAACGCCCCACACTTGGACACCTTTTTAAATTGCTAATTTGATCGAAACGATCGGTCTTGTGAAAACAGTATGGGTATACTATTTAATTAATATAAAGATTTGATCCAACTTATCTGGTGTCAAAGTCGCTGTCCTTTCTTGTTTCATGATTTTTGTTCCTTTTTCTATTCTTTTTCGGTTTTGTTTCGCTTTTTAACTTTTTGCTCTTTTTTTTGTCTCCCTAGTTACCCCCTTATTCGGTTAGCTAAGCCTCGTTCGGAGAGCGTACCAGGAAGTTTTCTCGAGTTTTCTTAAAAAGCTATCACGGTACGACCGGAAGGCTTACACGTTTTCGCCAAACCGTGCCACTGGTACTCTAGAATGGGCATGTAGCCCGGAGCTGTGTCAAGTGGGTTGGACTCCTTAGTCATGATGTCGTAAAAACACCCAGGAGCGCCATAAAAACACTATGTAGCAGTCGCCTACTTAAGTCACATATGAGGTTAAAGAAAAATAGGCCCTTTAACCATTGGCTCAAGAGTCAGGGACACTATCTCTTGTGTTTTTCTACCTCGAACGGTCGGAGCCAATTCGGTTTACTTGCGACATGAGACTAAAACCCTCGTTACAGCTTAAAGGCCACTACCAAAATACCCCCCCCCCCGCTCTAGAAATTAAGAACGTCCCCATATTTAGGTCTCTATATACCCAAAATACGCGAACGCCGTTAAAAACAGGGTCGGAACAGTCCGTACAGTTACTTTTTATTAGACAGTGGAACTTTGATCCATTTCAGATGGATCAACCTAAAACTCTCCTTACCTCAACATAACAATCATAAAACACACTCAAGAAAATTAAATTGGGTACTCACATTCCAGCACAATCGAGAATTGAGGTAACTAAATTAATAAGCAATTCGAGAATAAATGGGGGATTAAGTTTGACTCAATTAGCTTTAATTGAATAAGTTTTAGCTCGAGAAATGAGTTTTGGGGCTCGAACATTGGGAGACTTTGGTTGGCCACCTTTCCTTCGAAGCTTCACTCTGGTCCAATGTAAATTGATTCGCTCTTCATTTGTAATCGCTCTGTCTCCTATTTCTAGATAGGTCAGCTCTACTCTCGTGTGATCTTTAAGTCTCGAAATTGCGAATAGCAATTTCCCGCTGCTTTTTTGACTACTTTCCCGCGATTGCAGTTCGATTGTTCTGATCTTATTTTTCTGAGGTTTTCAGTTGTCGCGAGAAAGTTGAGCATGACATTTGACCCCAAAATCACGTTGTTCGTATTGCTCAAGGTCAAACTCCAAAATATGACCGACTGGCACATCAAGCACAAATATTATTGTTTTAAAACCGAAAATGACGAATATAAGAACATCCTCTATGAAAAACGTATGTGTTTTGTACTTTTAGTCAGTCGCAATACAATAGTCGAACTTTTTTCTGAAGGAAGAGCTTTCCCTGCTTGGTGCTGCACCAAACAGACAAAACTTGAAGGCAGTATTTTTCTCAAGTGGGCGTCTATTGCACCCACCGAGCCTCGTGTTACCTATGTCTTCGGACTGCCCGAGCTAGACATACTAAATTCCTCAAGGCAATCATTTTTCTCAAAAACTGTTTGGATTTCAATCCACACCAATGAGTTACACACTCTTGTTCATTTTAGACTTAGTGTTGCGAATATCCGAGTTTAGACCTGTTTTGTTTTGGTCTGGTTTTTTATAAATGCAAGTCACCAGTGCAATCACTGGTTCCTAGCCTGTCTCTTGATAACCTAATACCTCTTACTACTTTCTTTTCTGTTGTTTATCCTAATTCTTAACAAAATAATACTCCTCCGGATTGACAAAAACAGGACCCCTCCGGATTGGCAAAATTGAGACCCCTCCGGATTGGAACCCCTCCGGTTTTGTGAAAACAAGACACCTCCGGTTTGGGACCCCTCCGATTTAGAAAAAATATAAAGGACCCCTCCGGATTGGGACCCCTCCTGTTTGGCGAAAATAGGACCCCTCCGGATTGGGACCCCTCCGGATTGGGATCCCTCCGGTTTTGTAAAAATAGCTTTTCGGAGACTTCCTAAATTTTCAACCTGTACCCTTCCGGATACGTTCTCCGATGCTATTATGCTGTCTGAACTAACTAGGAAGGGTGTATTTTCTTTCGCAAGACCCTTCCGGATTGAAGTTAAGCCTTTTATTTGACAATTCACCCTAACTGTGAAGGGTCTTATCGCTAGCCTAGTTTCGACTTGACTATGGTTTTCTGGTTCCCATAGCCTTCCCTTTTTGTTTAGAACAGCGTAAAATTGCCTTATATTACCTTTACTACCTTTTGGTAGGGGTGTAAGGGCTTTCCGAATTTTTTTTTATAAAACGTGAAGGGTCTACCTTCCCGAATTAGTGAATTTGCTAAAAACAATCTTGAAAAATTTTCACGAATAATTGATGTTCTTATTAGTAAGCTCAGATAATATGTGATCTAGTGGTACCAAGATCAACTGAATCTGTCCTGTAGTTCCAAAGTTATTAACCAAAACGTCTTTTTTCTAAAGTCACAAAATTTCTCTTATAGGTTCCTCCTAACTGTTTTCGCAATTCTGTTCTTTTCGACCTAAAAATTATTGATTCGAGCTCAGAAGGCCTGTATTCTTCTAGTTCAATGCAAAAACCCGATCTAAATTGCTCTAGTTGAAAAAAGTTGCGAAAAACTATGCCAATTGGACCTCTCCGGATTGTTGAATCCACTAAATCAAACACGTTAAGTTCAATTTCTCTATAACCCGGAAGTTTATCGGAAAATGGGTTTTAAAACCTGTCGATTCACTAGTGGAAGTTGCCCTAACAATAATTTTTACTGTCCTAACTCAAAAGTTTCAAAAAATTTTTTTCTTATTTATTAGTGTTTTGTTTATTCAAAAATCACGAAAATTTTTGTTTTTGGTACCCAAATAGTTCCAACCACTTCTGAACTAAACTCAACCGGTTCTACCTATTATACTAGTACAATTACGATGTAACACACTAATTTAACGCTTTTTTCCGTTTCAAAAAATATCGATATCTCAGAAATCGCGATTTGTGGGGGGATCAAAATATCGCTATTTTGACCCTAAAAACCGGTCCGCTTATTGTGTTTTTCATTGAAAAACGATATAAGAATATTAATATAGGCTGTATAAATAATATTATTAGTAATACTATACCCCTCCGGATTCGTTCAATATCCGAATTAAGGTGCTTAACTCGGAAATTCGCAGTCCGGTGAAGGGTCACAACTGTCGAGCCCCCCACAGATTACTATTTTACTTTTTGTACCAAAAGGGATACAAAACTTGTTAACGATACGCAACAGTCGATTGTTGTTGTCGTTGAGCCCCTTCTTGTTGCTCCTTTAACTGCTTGCCGGATCAGTCTTCTCCGCTAATCCCGAGACCCTTCCGGATTGAGCGAAAATTAGCAGACCCTTCCGGTTTGAGCGCAAATTAGCATTAACGTGCCTAATTACTCAATCAACCCTACAGTACAAGCCTCACAAACGGGCCACAAAATTGATCGTAACAATTCTGACTGATATAAATGCCTGTAACAACAATATACCTATCAACAACAAACGGGAGGGTCGGATCACATCTTGTCTGGGGGGATGATTTCTACTGATTTTATTCTTTTTTACTGTTTTTGGTTTTTTCGGTTATTTTTTATGTTTTAATGTTTTTCTTGGGTACTGTACTACTTTTTGTTCGGTTTCTTGTTTAGCTTTAAGTGTTTTTGGTCACGGACAACTCAGGAAATGACGGGACCGAGAATCCCCCCACCCTTCCTGGTTCGTGAATTTTCGGTCTTAACTATGTTGAAAAGCTATTCACGGGAATCCGAAAGGCTTCCGCGTTCCGAACTACCCTTCCGCCCCGGCGGTTAGGGCCTATTAGGGGCGTTATTGTGAGCATCCGCTCGGCGCGGAGTGCTCGTTAACGGTTCTGCCGGTCATGATGTTAAAAAAGAATAACATCCAGGAGCGCCATAAAATTATCTATGTAAAATTTGCCCGGAAGTACATATCAACGGAAAATAAAGCTAGGTTCTAAGACGACTGGCCAGCGTCTAAACAGAGCTCTACAAGTTTTTCACCGTCTCTGCCAAAGTCAGTTCTTTTTGTGGTCTTTCTAACATCGGGTCGACAAAATTGTTACTGCTTTCGGCTTCGGTCAAAACACTCAAAATAACTCAATTATATGCAAGAATAGTGAGCTCATGGCTGGGTCTCAGTATCCCCAGACCACGAGGTCACTCCTAAAAACAGGGCTACTACTATTTATTATATTACTTTTGTTTTTGTTCAGTAGATAAAAATCATCATCTCCATGGAAGATGGATCAACCCTTTACCCCAACTCCTAGCTTCTCATTCTCAGAAAATGAATTCAGATGTTAATTAAATTCAATTCAGGACATATCCAGGAAGCTAAAAGTTTGTATAAAACAGTTTGAGTTCAAGTCTCAAGACCTCTCCGGAATCCTGAATCCGGGAAAAATAACACCCTTACTTCCTCTCCGGAAGGCTGATTCCCATCCTTCACCGTTAGCGTGAATGGCTTTGCAACGATTGTAGCGACACAATCGTTGCAACTCGGAGCGGTCTCTGCTAATACTCTGTCGTCTTTTTCTATGTTGTCGTTTTTCTAGCAACTATCGCTGTTGTTGTTTTCGCAACTTCTTTCGTTGTACTTTATTTCTTCCAAAATTGCTGTTTTTGAGGTTTCTCGGAAATACGACGTCATCATTCGAAATTTTAAAGACTTAAAATACCAGAATATTGTGACCTTCACAGATTGACTAATCGTTACAATAACGTGGCTAATCTGTTAAAACTGCCAATTCTCAATGTCCGCGTATGTCAATTCTGGTCGAATGTCACATATATCTACTAGTCTCAGGTTGTTTAACTAGTCTCTGCTAGGCTCAATAGATCTAGAGTATACTGGCTTAATGCGATTGCTGTTTGGTCTATTGGAGAGGTAACTAATTTCTAATTTAAATTCAAATTTCTCTGGTGCTCAAATTACAAGTAATTTCAGCACTTCAAAAAAAAATGGGTTGTTAGTTAGATGGATCATGATTGGTTAGTATTAAATTTTTTATAGTGATAAAATATCTAATTTATAACCAATAATAAGATATAGTTTAGATCTGTTTCCATAAGAAAAACCAAAATGTCTTCAAAAATTGTCTTCAAAAAATTTCACCTAATCTCAAAATGTCTTCAAAAATTGTCTTCAAAATTTTCACCTAATCTCAACCCAATTTGAGAAAAACGGGTGTTAAATTTCAGGTTTAGCGCGTTTCGTCCGGTTAATTTAAATCAGCACTGTATTGGCGTTTTTGGTTTGATAAAATACTCGTATTGTTGAGAAATGAAAATTGTCTACTTGTTGCTTTGCTATGTGGACCATTTTCACCCAGGATGAATTCCACGGAATGCGCCGGCGGTTAGGGCCTATTAGGGGCGTTATTGTGAGCATCCGCTCGGCGCGGAGTGCTCGTTAACGGTTCTGCGGTCATGATGTTAATAAAGATTAACACCCAGGAGCGCCATAAAAACATCTATGTAACATTCGCTCGGAAGTACATATCGACTGAAAATAAAGCTAGGTTCTAAGACGACTGGCCAGCGTCTATACAGAGCTCTACATGCTTTTCACCGTCTCTGCCAAAGTCAGTTCTTTTGGTGGTCTTTCTAACATCGGGTCGACAAAATTGTTACTGCTTTCGGCTTCGGTCAAAACACTCAAAATAACTCAATTATATGCAAGAATAGTGAGCTCATGGCTGGGTCTCAGTATCCCCAGACCACGAGGTCACTCCTAAAAACAGGGCTACTACTATTTATCGTTTTACTTTTGTTTTTGTTCAGTAGATAAAAATCATCATCCCCATCGAAGATGGATCAACCCTTTCCCCCAACTCCTAGCTTCTCATTCTCAGAAAATGAACTCAAATGTTAATTAAATTCAATTCAGGACATATCCAGGAAGCTAAAAGTTTGTATAAAACAGTTTGAGTTCAAGTCTCAAGCCCCCTCCGGATTCCTGAGTCCGGGGAAATAACACCCTTACTTCCTCTCCGGAAGGCTGATTCCCACCCTTCACCGTTAGAGTGAATGGCTTTGCAACGATTACGATTGTAGCGACACAAACGTTGCAACTCGGAGCGGTCTCTGCTAATACACTGTCGTCTTTTTCTATGTTGTCGTTTTTCTAGCAACTATCGCTGTTGTTGTTTTCGCAACTTCTGTCGTTGTACTTTATTTCTTCCAAAATTGCTGTTTTTGAGGTTTCTCGGAAATACGACGTCATCATTCGAAATTTTAAAAACTTAAAATACCAGAATATTGTGACCTTCACAGATTGACTAATCGTTACAATAACGTGGCTAATCTGTTAAAACTGCCAATTCTCAATGTCCGCGTATGTCAATTCTGGTCGAATGTCACATATATCTACTAGTCTCAGGTTGTTTAACTAGTCTCTGCTAGGCTCAATAGATCTAGAGTATACTGGCTTAATGCGATTGCTGTTTGGTCTATTGGAGAGGTAACTAATTTCTAATTTAAATTCAAATTTCTCTAGTGCTCAAATTACAAGTAATTTCAGCACTTTTTTAAAAAAAATGGGTTGTTAGTATGATGGATCATGATTGGTTAGTATTAAATTTTTTATAGTGATAAAATATCTAATTTATAACCAATAATAAGATATAGTTTAGATCTGTTTCCATAAGAAAAACCAAAATGTCTTCAAAAATTGTCTTCAAAAATTTTCACCTAATCTCAAAATGTCTTCAAAAATTGTCTTCAAAAATTTTCACCTAATCTCAACCCAATTTGAGAAAAACGGGTGTTAAATTTCAGGTTTAGCGCGTTTCGTCCGGTTAATTTAAATCAGCACTGTATTGGCGTTTTTGGTTTGATAAAATACTCGTATTGTTGAGAAATGAAAATTGTCTACTTGTTGCTTTGCTATGTGGACCATTTTCACCCAGGATGAATTCCACGGAATGCGCCGGCGGTTAGGGCCTATGAGGGTGGTTATTGTGAGCATCCGCTCGGCGCGGAGTGCTCGTTAACGGTTCTGCGGTCATGATGTTAATAAAGATTAACACCCAGGAGCGCCATAAAAACATCTATGTAACATTCGCTCGGAAGTACATATCGATGGAAAATAAAGCTAGGTTCTAAGACGACTGGCCAGCGTCTATACAGAGCTCTACATGCTTTTCACCGTCTCTGCCAAAGTCAGTTCTTTTGGTGGTCTTTCTAACATCGGGTCGACAAAATTGTTACTGCTTTCGGCTTCGGTCAAAACACTCAAAATAACTCAATTATATGCAAGAATAGTGAGCTCATGGCTGGGTCTCAGTATCCCCAGACCACGAGGTCACTCCTAAAAACAGGGCTACTACTATTTATCATTTTACTTTTGTTTTTGTTCAGTAGATAAAAATCATCATCCCCATCGAAGATGGATCAACCCTTTCCCCCAACTCCTAGCTTCTCATTCTCAGAAAATGAACTCAAATGTTAATTAAATTCAATTCAGGACATATCCAGGAAGCTAAAAGTTTGTATAAAACAGTTTGAGTTCAAGTCTCAAGCCCCCTCCGGATTCCTGAGTCCGGGAAAATAACACCCTTACTTCCTCTCCGGAAGGCTGATTCCCACCCTTCACCGTTAGAGTGAATGGCTTTGCAACGATTACGATTGTAGCGACACAATCGTTGCAACTCGGAGCGGTCTCTGCTAATACACTGTCGTCTTTTTCTATGTTGTCGTTTTTCTAGCAACTATCGCTGTTGTTGTTTTCGCAACTTCTGTCGTTGTTTTTATTTCTTCCAAAATGGCTGTTTTTGACGTTTCTCGGAAAGATGACGTCATCATTCGAAATTTTAAAAATTTAAAATACCAGAATATTCCGACCTTCACAGTTTGACTAATCGTTACAATAACGTGGCTAATCTGTTAAAACTGCCAATTCGCAAGGTCAGCGTATGTCAATTCTGGTCGAATGTCACATATATCTACTAGTCTCAGGTTGTTTAACTAGTCTCTGCTAGGCTCAATAGATCTAGAGTATACTGGCTTATTGCGATTACTATTTGGTCTATTGGAGAGGTAACTAATTTCTAAGTTAAATTCAAATCTCTCTGGTGCTGAAATTACAAGTTATTTCAGCACTTATAAAAAAGTGGGTTGTTAGTTAGATGGATCATGATTGGTTAATATTAAATATTTTATAGTGATAAAATATCTAATTTATAACCAATAATAAGATATTGTTTAGATCTGGTTCCATAAGAAAAACTAAAATGACCCATTTTTGGGGTAAAATTTTGGGCCCGAATTTCGCAAAACAAATTACACCACATTAATTCTGCTCAAATTTTTTAAGCAAGTTTTGTCTTCATAAATTTTCACCTAATCTCAACCCAATTTGAGAAAAACGGGTGTTAAATTTCAAGTTTAACGCGTTTCGTCCGGTTAATTTAAATCAGCACTGTATTGGCGTTTTTGGTTTGAGAAAATACTCGTATTGTTGAGAAATGAAAATTGTCTGCTCGTTGCTTTGCTATGTGGACCATTTTCACCCAGGCTGAATTCCATTTATGAGGAAAAAGATGTCCTAATTCGCTCGTTAAATTAAAAAATTGCCTGTCTGTTGCTATTTTTCGTAGTAAATTATGTGATCAATGTTCGATAGTTTTTCGACCAGCTTCAAATGGTTTAACTATAGTTTAAGTTGAAAATGGCTTGTAACTCTTTGTGGAGCTTCGGTCAAGATCGTCAGCAAGGCCAACAAGAAACTCTGGCGAGCAAGTTTTCATTTTTGGCTGCTACTGCTCCGAAGCCTACAACGAAATTCGTACACATCAATGGCAGCCCGAAGCAACCAGGAAAAGGTTCGAGCAGGCAAAAGCAAAAAGTATCTAACTGTGAACCCCAAATTGTTTCGAACCTAATGAAGGCGGGAAAAAAATCTGTGCCGAAAACTGGACATGAAGCAATTTCCAATTTGAAAAGTGGGACTACCCATTTTACAAATTTAGTTGAACTGAAAAAGAAAAAAACCCGGAGGTTAGTTTTACTATCAAGTTCCTTGAGCGTTAGACAAATATTGTTTATTGCAGTGTTGACCCGTGCAATTTGTAAGGGTGTTGCTAACGGTACAAGACTTTTCCTGTAAACAACAAGATAACGCACGTGAAATTGCAAATCGTGTCAATTCAAAATCAATCTACCATCCAGCGTAGAGGTGAAATACCTGCTTGAAATTTCTGCTTTGTCGGACTATTGTCTGTCTGTTTGATTTTGTAGGCTTAGTTTCTGTAGCACGGATTCTTTTTGTACGTTGGGTTTACATATTCGGCTTCATAATGTTGGTTTCAAAATTACCTCCGCCCGTTTGGTATAATATAATTATTCTTGTTTTTTTTTTGATTACTCAGCTTGGCATTTTTAAAACCTTATCGGCTTGTTGGCATTATATTGCATTGCTGGATTAGCGAAAAATGCTTCCTATGTGTGTGTCTTTTGAAGGGAAAATTTATTTTAATAAAAGTTTTTTTCGGAAACATTTTTTTGGATGTTTCTACATCAGTTTTTGTATAATCTTTTTCTGAAATCGGTTGGCATACAAGCACTGCTCTGTGTTTAGGTTTCATTTTTAAGACGCTTGCGATAACCAAGCAATAATTTGTAATAAAGGTTTTTTCAATTTAACAACTAGTTTAAAAAACCACTTTCGTGGCAGCAGGTCGAACATCAGGGCCACAAAATTTTTTTGAGTACGCCAACATTTAGAATCGCATTTATATTCCATTTTTTTGATGATTGCTTGTAAACTAACTTTGTTTTTCAATCAATATTTTTTTTCGATTTCGCTAGAAGATGATATACCATATAATTGAATCTTGGGATTCAATGGTTTAACTGATGTTTTATTTTTTAGTCGCGTCTATTTTTGTCGTTTTAAGGACGAAATTGTTTTGAAATTCATTTTTGCTTGGGGGCATAAAAGTGGTTCTTTCAAAAGAATTACACTTGCCATAGCAGGTGTCTTGTAATCGGGACCTAGCTTTTTTTTATAATGTGAACAATTTTTATTAAATTTCCAATCTATCTATCTATCTATACTATATTTAAATTTTCAATTCGTTTTCCGCAAGGTCAATAATTTTTCGGTAATTTTTTTCGAGGCCAAATAAAGTCTGTCTGTCTGTCTGTCTGCCTGAATACCTGCTTTTTCAATTAATTTGATTATGTCTGTCTACCCGTCTCCTATTTTTTAACTTTCAATTTGGTTTCGACGATTCAGTTTAAAAAAGTACTACTGTCAAACAATTGTCTCCAATTTTTTTCGCTTCATCTTATTTCTTTAACGTAATATTTTTGCATAATTATCGAAAGAATTTTTTCACGCTTAAGCTATTTTGTATATTGCAATGTTTAAGATTATTTTCCGATTTTCCTGTTTCAGTTCAGTGATTATTCCACCCAGCTGAAAAAGCAGGCAGCCCGATAGTGGGATGCTGTCAGAGTTCACAAAATGGTTGCTAATTTGAAGTCCAATTAAGAATGGTCAAATTCTTAGTGTACGAGATACGACGATTTTGGATTTTTTTCTAAGACCTTCAAAACTTCAACTTGAAAATAAACTACAAAATTTGAAATTCTTTACTCTGTAGTTGAGTGCTGTAAGGGTACTCTCTTGAGTTGCGAATCTGCCTCCAAATATGACTTCTCAAATCCTTTTGAGTTTCGAGAAATGACGTTTTTGTGGTTTTTCACAATTTTTTCAGAAAACTTAACGATTTTTTTCTTCAAAATTTGAAATTCGTAACCCTGTAGTTTGGGGCTATCAGAGGGATTTGCGAACTTTGCCTCCAATGGTGTTTGCTCGAGTTGCTGTAGTTTTTGAGATATGACGTTTTTTGTGATTTTTACAAAAACAATTTTCAAAAGTTTGAATTAATTTTTTTTTCAAAGTTTGATAATCCTTAACCTGTAGTTGGGTGCTGTCAGGGTACTCTCAGGAGTTGCGAACCTTGCCTTCAAATATGATTGCTCAATTTCTTTTAGTTTTTGACATATGACGTTTTTTGTGAATTTTTGAAAAAAATTTCTGAAAACCCAAACATTTTTTTTCTTCAAAATTTGAATTTCCCTGTACTCGGAGGCTATCAGAGTAGTCTTGCGGTTTGAGAACTTTGCATCAAATTATGACTGCTCAAATCTTAGTAGTTTTCCAGATTTGACTTTTTTTGTGATTTTTTTAAATTTTTTTAATATGAAATTCTTAACCCGTTGTTTGCATGGGTTAGGGTTAGCTTTGCATGCATTATATAAACGACATGTATGAAGTATAAACGACATGCATGTAAACGTATAAAAGTATAAAATTCATGCAGCATGTGCGTCCTATTTGCGCTTATGATTTTGTTACTCCCACCTTATTGACGTTTTTCCTATAAATCGCAGTTCAAAATTTAAAAAAAAATCTTTTATCATTTATTCATTTTTCGGCTTCGTCGTTTTCGGTTTGTTTTTTGTCGGCTTAGTTTCTGCTTTGTTTTTGCCTGCAACTACGTCGCTCATTTTAATGTTATTTATGGACGACTGGTGGCTAAATAACTTTTCGAACTTAAAATTGTTAAATTTTTATTGAACAATTTTTGACCAAATTTGTCATCTTTTTTTTTCAATACTTTTTATCGGATAATTTGGTCACTGTTTCCTTCACTTATTAAATGCTTTTATTTAAATTTTAAGAGAGTTGATATAGTTCATGGTTTTCTAGTATTTTAGCGCGCCAAAAACTTCTGATGGAAAAACAATTAACGAAATTTTTTTTGAGTTTAGTTTGTTGTTTTTTTTCGTTAAATTTCGAATAAATAAATTTCGAAAATTCAAAAAGTTTGAATACTAGTTCATAAATTTTGGAAAACCGTCATAGATTTTGAGAAAAAATCATGAAATGCCAGAATAGTTTTTTTGCGATTCTGATATGACTGTTCCGTCTTCAAATGAATAAGGCAAATGTACGATAATCGAGAGTTTGGGTTTTCCGACTGAAATTTTCATGAAAAAAAAAGTTCTCGTATTTTTTTTTGTTTCATTAACCGGCATATGTTCTGTTGTAATCTTGTTCATCAACTTTTGGTATTTGGTAAGTTTTCGGATGTCTTTGGGATGTTCTTATAGATGTTAAAAGTTGTTTTTAGGTTTTCTGGGAATTATTTTTTTGTGATAATTTTTCGTTTTTTGCAGTGTTTTTTTGAAGTTTTGGTTTTTCATTTTTGTTTTTCATTTTAATCTTAGTTTATAGCAAGCAACAGTTAGGTTTTTTATTATCCTCAAGTTTGCCTCTGGGATATGTAGGTTGTTTAGTTGCAATTTTAAGCAAAGTTTTCGAATCAATTAGGATATTTTAGATCATTTGACCGAGTTTTTTTTAATCGTTTACATCATTTAGTTGTTATGAGAAAGAAATGAAGTGAGTTTATGTAGCCTGAATCCTTCTAATATTTTAGGTAATTGATTTCTTCAATCCATCTATTTTTCACTTTTCGTTTGAGACCTATCTTTAGAACGTTGGCATTTCATTTATATCGCAAGTGGTTCGAAGCTCTGCTCCACCTTTGTGTTTAAAGCTCAAATGTTTAGTTTTTTACTCATTTTTCTACCCAAAAAATGTCTGCTAATTTACCGCTTTTTAAATAATTGCAATACTTTTTTCATTGACGAGTGAGATACTTGGAATTCTGACTTTTTCCTCCACGAACCTAGCTTGCAGGCGACGTGTCTGGTGTCATAGCCACCGCCGGACGTTTTTTTATGATGTTTAATTGCATGCATTTTTTGTGGTAGTATGGAACATCAACATCTTTTCTAGATGCAAACCATGCTCATTTGGTGGTTAAGGACTAGGGTTCGAGCCCCAGCCGTACCGGGCCGATTATACTTCCATGTGTGGAAAAAAGTTTTTTTTTTGTGTGATAGCGTCAGAACCTTGCCTAGTAATTTATTTTTCGTCAAACTACTCTCCAATCATAACAATAGCTGAAAACCTTTGTAATTGCTAATTTTTACGATCTTTCCTTTTTCACTCAAATAGGTGAGACTCATAATATATTGACTAAGTGACCTCATTTTTTCGCCTTTTTAAAGGGAAGTATTTTTTTTGCTATGTGTGCGTGAGAAGAATTGTGGCATGAAACTTTGATGCTCAGAATTTTGTTTTCGATTTAACTGGCTTCTACACAATGTGGCTTCGCCTCTTTTTAACACTCGCGATTGCCTTGCTCATCTTTTGTCAAATTGCACCGCATTCGAGACAAGGTAACAAAAATTGTTAAAAAAATTTAAAGTGTGTTTCGTGTTTTCGGTTTGCTGCTCTTTCTGTGATGTATCGCAAGAGGTAAAAAAAATTGCTTCTGCTTAAGTTAGTTTGCTTTTTTGCTGATATTGTTGGAAATGGCTCCGTATTTTTTTGTATTAGAAACATAAGTTATAATTTTTATCAAGTTTATTTGTTCGTAAGGAGTGTAGGATTAGACCGAAAGGTTTTCCCTTATTAGTACTCTAAGGTCTGCAAGCAACCAGTATGGCAGTTCTCAGGATTTCGGGATTTTCTCAGGATGCTCAATATTTTCTGCTTTACTTCAAGTGAGGTGAAGCTCCACTTCGTGTTTTCCAAAATTATGATTCATGTGCACGTTTGACGAGTCTTGCTACACCTTTAACATTTTGAAATAGTTGCTGGTTAAATTGCACCACAAACTTTGAACATGCTCTACATTTTTGCTGTTTGTGGAAAACAAACTATTTTATAATTCCGGTGATGCGTTGGCTAATTTTTTTTGGGAGGTTTTAGTTGCTGCGAGCTCATTTTAAATGTTTATCATCAAAATATCACGATCGTGCGGTAATAGTGACATGAGTCTTTATCCAGATTTCTTGTTGAAACTTTTACAAAGAAGTGATTTGATGAGTATTCCAGATCATTCGTAAACGATGATTCCTCTGAATATTCAATGTTCTCCGACAACTCCATTGCGAACGATAGACTGAACCATCCGGAACATGTGATTCTGGACGAGGCAACTTTGGATGAGTTGATTCACATGCAGCAGCAGGAAGTGTTGAAACTGGTCCAACAGAGGAAGATCTTTGACATACACGATGAAGTGGCGTCTGAAGTATACTCTCATCAGTATCAGTCTAAAGTGGCAGAGTACCTGGTGGATGGAGGTAAGTCAGTGAGAGTTGCCAGAAGTTCGCACAGACAAAGATAATTATAATAAACAAATGAGCTCTCGTTTTGCAGTAAGCATTTGTGTCTCAAGGTTGTCCTAAATTTCAACCTAGTGAGTTAGGACCGAGGTGGTTAACTCATAGAGTAATTTCGGATAGGGTACACCGTCTGCTCGTCACGCTATCTTATTTTCGGCCGGATAGATTCGTGCAACTTCTTAGTCTAATACCGATCCTAATCTTACTCTTATACTATCTAGTCTCAGGTTGTTTAACTAGTCTCTGCTAGGCTCAATAGATCTAGGGTATACTGGTTTATTGCGGCTGCTAAAGTCTTCTTGGAGAGTCCAACTAATTTCTAAGTTAAATTCAAATCTCTCTGGTGCTGAAATTACAAGTAATTTCAGCACTTACAAATAAGTGGGTTGTTAGTTAGATGGATCATGATTGGTTAATATTAAATACTTTACAGTGGTAAAATATCTAATTTATCCAATCATAAAATGTAGTTTAGATCAGGTTCCACTAGCTTTGTTCAAGTTCGTTCAGAATCGGAAGAATAATATTTTCAACTAATTCTGTCTGTCTGTCTGAATTTTTGCAACTTGTAATAGCTAGAATCCCTCACCTCAGGCACCTTTCATTGAATCTGCGCCACTTTCTTATTATTTAACTGCTAATCGTTTGCGATTTATGTACTTAGTTGCTAAAACCGAGGGGGGGCCAATTATTTTCAAAACAGTACAAGTCTTAAGAAAAATCAATTTAAGCCTTCAGGAAGTTTTCGTAAATTATAAAGAATGTTGACTTTTCATTTATTTCTTTCTTCTGAAATTCCTTTTTCTGAAAATTTCCCAGCCAAGTGCCATATGAGAACCTATACTGGCTAAAATACGAGACAGGCTTTTTTCTCAATAAGCAACACTTTCATGGGTGGAAATGAATTTTGAAACAGTTGTCTTGTTGATAAATTATAATATCTTATTTAGGAAGTGTGTCGATCACTGCAAAAAGACTTAACATTGACTCTGTGGCACTGAAGGCTTGGAAAAACCGTCTGGTGGAGGCGAAAATGAAGAAAAAGAAGGCAGCTAAACAGAAGAAAGAGAGACTTGCTATGCCGAAGGCAAAAGCAGTGAAACCACCGAAAAAGATCAAGAAACAGAGAAAATCACTCGAAGGCGAAGAAGTGGAAGTGATGAAGACGCGATCATCTGAGAAGAAAAACCAGAATTTGGATACCGCGATTGAAAAAGAAGGTCCTGGAAAAGGTAAACGAGGACGTGCAAAAAAGTCACAAAAAGGAGCTGATAAATTGTCTGACGTGATGGAAGTTGATTCGACAAAAGGAACTGACGCTTTAAACGAGGACTTTTTGATTCTAGATAAAGATGCGTCGGTCCACTCCTCGGAAGAATCGATGCTCTCTTATGATGAGATTGTTCTAGAAGCAAGAAGGCGTCAGCTAGAGGAAACTAATGAGACCAAAGTGTCACTGTTTGTATGCAACAGTTGCAGAGAAATATTCAGAAGTACTGTCGACTTTCTGAATCACGAGAGAAATTGTGAGAAGTTTATACCAGTGCCGTTTACGAAAGTTCAGTGATAGCTGAAAGCTAGCTGATAGCTTTGTTAGATGTTTTTAATGTAAGATTTAGCAGTATTTAGAGTTAGTTGAGAGCTAGCTTACTCTTGAGTTAAATTTAAGTGAGCATTTCGTAAGACCGGGTTATACACGCGACAATTAGTGCTGTGAGTTTTCTCGTGAACCCATAAGTGAAATGTAGGCAATTAAGACTAAAGCTATGATCTAAAGCTATGAGAGTTTAGGATTATGGACAAGAGTGTAAAACTAGCCTTTACTTTTTTTATTTGCTTAATTTTTTTCGCATACTACTCTTGATTACCATCAGCTGTGATGTGATTCACAATGTGCTTATCATGCCGAATGTAAGCGCAGCTCGGTGAAAAAGAGCAAAGAGGCAATTTTCTGTTTTTTTTTACTAAAGTCCGTCATCTTATTTTTATCAGACTACTTCCCGTAGCACGAACTTCAGTTTTTTTTGTTCCGAATGCCGTGATGAGTTAGGTTCTAGGTTTAACTCATAGAGTAATTTTAGATAGAGTACACCGTCTGCTCGTCACGCTATCTTATTTTCGGCCGGATAGATTCGTGCAAATTCTTAGTCTAATACCGATCCTAATCTTACTCTTATATCTACTAGTCTCAATAGATCTAGAGTATACTGGTTTTTTGCGAGTCGCTCTCTGGGAGAGGCAACTAAGTTCTAAATTAATTCAAATCTCTCTGGTGCTGAAATTACAAGTAATTTCAGCATTTACAAATAAGTGGGTTGTTAGTTTGATGGAGTATGATTGGTAAGTATTCAATATTTTATAGGGATAAAATATAAGAATAATGACCAATACTAAAATCTAGTTTACATCTGGTTCGATTTTTCTCGTGGAAAATGTTCTATGAATTCTTTGCTCGCTCAGTTGTAAAAAAGAAGATTTATAGATATGTTCGTACCTCCAGTTTTCAATCGGAAATCTTGGCTCGAATCATGTTTGAGATGGTTTCCAATCAAATGATTTAAAGACGACAATGACACTAGATTTTTTCAGCTTTTTATGCCATTCTTTTTTCATTTTCTGATAGCCTGTACCTGAAATTTTGAAAATGGTAATTTGGTTGACAAGTCAATGAAAGTTTGACTCCCATATTTAGGTATGATCTCAGAGCAAAAGAAGATTTCGCAGCCCACTGATTTTATCATTCAGTTCCTAATTGGTTGCAATTTGCCATTTTCATAATTTAATGGCTTGAAGAATGCATCAGGAATTAATTGCTAATTACATCATAAGCGATAATGAAAAATACTCCGAATCAATTTATGGTAGTGCTTTTTAATAACAATTCAAACGAATTTCTTATTTTACTAAATTTTCCGGCGCTGCACAACCGATCAACTTTTCCTCGCTTCGTAAAGTCAATTTCCTTAAGAAAATGCTTTTTCAAATTCAATTTAACGATACATCGGAGCGCGCATTAATTAGCGCTATAACTTCGCCGTGTTATAAACGTAATCAATTTCATTTAGTTTTGGATCTACTTAACAATCTTCACCCCTATAAATTAATACAGTAAATTAGCACTGAGCTTTCTATTGAGAATTATAATTTTGCTGCATTCTGATTGGTTGAAAAATCGACCATTTTGACCTACTTAACAATCTCCCCCTTTCTTGACAGGGGTGGAAATTGTTAAAAAGATCCTACCTCTATTTTATGCACTTGTAGTTGCGAAAGCATTTTTCAAAAAGGCATTTCCTGTCTTTCATTTCATTATCTTCTTTAAACGTCTGATTTAGTTTATGAGGCATTCTGATTGGTTAATCGAGTCAACCAATCACAAGGCTATAGTTATCCCAATTTGTTCTTTAAGTCGTAGGGGTGTATTCATAGTTTCCAAAATATAAAAATCAGTCCCATAGGTTCCAAAATAAAAAAGCAGTCGCGTAAGTTCCAAATCTTTTCAATTGGTCTGTAGATTCTTTTCTGGGGAGTCTCCTCTAAGCGCGCTTTCACTCTACTCAACTGCCGCAGAGTTTCTCCCCTTTATACCGTGTAATAGCGGGGGACACTAAGACACGATATGATTCACAATCCCGAAAGGGTTATGTTGGTGGTCAGTCTAAATCGGCCGATTAAAGGATTGCGCAACTTCCCCTTAATTTAGGCTCTTTTCGGCTCTCCTCTCGTGCTTCTAGTTAGTTCAGCAAATCGTGGGCACAATGAGTTAGTTCTCAATCGCAAAGGAAATCAAATCAACTTAGTGTCCTTAATGAGCTAACTACTATTTAGCAACTTCTATTTTGAAGCCCGCGTCCCGTTCCGTTCAATCGCTCGTCAGTTTTCGCTTGACTCGATCAAAACTCACCTACTCTAGCAGATAAACGCTCACGCAACTAGTTCAACCCGGTACTAAACTCAGGTTCCAATCAGCTCGCTCGCTAGCAATAATTGTTCTTTACTCTGATCGAGAACCCACTACTCTTAATAGAAGCCAACAGCTGTTCTCTTCTCTGACGAGAACCAACTTCTCCCAATAGTAGTTAACAACTGTTCTCTTCTCTGACGAGAACCAACTACTCTCAATAGTAATTAATAACTGTTCTCTTCTCTGACGAGAATCAACTACTCTCAATAGTAGTTAACAACTGTTCTGTTCTCTGAGGAGAACCAACTACTCTCAATAGTAGTTAACAACTGTTCTGTTCTCTGACGAGAACCAACTACTCTCAATAGTAGTTAACAACTGTTCTGACTCTTACAGGCTCTCCCGTACCCTTCAATTCCTTATCTTTCGTTACACTTAGTGTCTATTTTTCAGATTTAGTGTATACTGTTATCATTTGTTGTTTTTGGTTTATTGAGTTAAGTTCTATTTGTAACTCATAGAGTAATTTCAGATAGGGTACACCGTCTGCTCGTCACGCTATCTTATTTTCGGCCGGATAGATTCGTGCAACTTCTTAGTCTAATACCGATCTTACTCTTAAGCAGTCGCATAAGTTCCAAATCTTTTCAATTGGTCTGTAGATTCTTTTCCGGGGAGTGTCCTCTAAGCGCGCTTTCACTCTACTCAACTGCCGCAGAGTTTCTCCCCTTTATACCGTGTAATAGCGGGGGAAACTAAGACACGATATGATTCACAATCCCGAAAGGGTTATGTTGGTGGTCAGTCTAAATCGGCCTAATAAAGGATTGCGAAACTTGCCCTTAATTTAGGCTCTTTTCGGCTCTCCTCTCGTACTTCTAGTTAGTTCAGCAAATCGTTTGCACAATGAGTTAGTTCTGAATTGCAAAGGAAATCAAATCAACTTACAGTGTCCTTAATGAGCTAACTACTATTTAGCAACTTCTATTTTGAAGCCTGCGTCCCGTTCCGTTCAATCGCTCGTCAGTTTTTGGTTGACTCGATCAAAACTTGCCTACTCTAGCAGATAAACGCTCACACAACTAGTTCAACCCGGTACTAAACTCGGGTTCCAGTGCAACTCGCTCGCACAGCTATTTCAACCCGGTACTAAACTCGGGTTCTAGCGCAACTCGCTCACACAACTAGTTCAACCAGTTACTTAACTCGGGTTCCAATCAGCTCGCTCGCTAGCAATAATTGTACTCTTCTCTGACGAGAATCAACTACTCTCAATAGCAGTTAACAACTGTTCTCTTCTCTGACGAGAACCAACTACGCTTAATAGTAATTAACAACTGTTATCTTCTCTGACGAGAACCAACTACTCTCAATAGTAGTTAACAACTGTTCTGACTCTTACAGGCTCTCCCGTACCCTCCAATTCCTTATCTTTCCTTACAATTAGTGTCTATTTTTCAGATTTACTGTATACTGTTATCATTTGTTGTTTTTGGGTTATTGAGTTAGGTTCTATTTGTAACTCATAGTGATTTCAGATAGGGTACACCGTCTGCTCGTCACGCTATCTTATTTTCGGCCGGATAGATTCGTGCAACTTCTTAGTCTAATACCGATCTTAATCTTACTCTTAAGCAGTCGCATAAGTGCCAAATCTTTTCAATTGGTCTGTAGATTCTTTTCCGGGGAGTGTCCTCTAAGCGCGCTTTCACTCTACTCAACTGTCGCAGAGTTCCTCCCCTTTATACCGTGTAATAGCGGGGGAAATTAAGACACGATATGATTCACAATCCCGAAAGGGTTATGTTGGTGGTCAGTCTAAATCGGCCTGTTAAAGGATTGCGAAACTTCCCCTTAATTTAGGCTCTTTTCGGCTCTCCTCTCGTGCTTCTAGCTAGTTCAGCAAATCGTGGGCACAATGAGTTAGTTCTCAATCGCAAAGGAAATCAAATCAACTTAGTGTCCTTAATGAGCTAACTACTATTTAGCAACTTCTATTTTGAAGCCTGCGTCCCGTTCCGTTCAATCGCTCGTCAGTTTTCGGTTGACTCGATCAAAACTCGCCTACTCTAGCAGATAAACGCTCACACAACTAGTTCAACCCGGTACTAAACTCGGGTTCCAGCGCAACTCGCTCGCACAGCTATTTCAACCCGGTACTAATTTCGGGTTCTAGCGCAACTCGCTCACACAACTAGTTCAACCAGTTACTTAACTCGGGTTCCAATCAGCTCGCTCGCTAGCAATAAGTGTACTCTTCTCTGACGAGAATCAACTACTCTCAATAGCAGTTAACAACTGCTCTCTTCTCTGACGAGAACCAACTACGCTTAATAGTAATTAACAACTGTTATCTTCTCTGACGAGAACCAACTACTCTCAATAGTAGTTAAAAACTGTTCTGACTCTTACGGGCTCTCCCGTACCCTCCAATTCCTTATCTTTCCTTACAATTAGTGTCTATTTTTCAGATTTATTGTATACTGTTATCATTTGTTGTTTTTGGGTTATTGAGTTAGGTTCTATTTGTAACTCATAGAGTGATTTCAGATAGGGTACACCGTCTGCTCGTCACGCTATCTTATTTTCGGCCGGATAGATTCGTGCAACTTCTTAGTCTAATACCGATCTTAATCTTACTCTTAAGCAGTCGCATAAGTGCCAAATCTTTTCAATTGGTCTGTAGATTCTTTTCCGGGGAGTGTCCTCTAAGCGCGCTTTCACTCTACTCAACTGCCGCAGAGTTCCTCCCC